ACTAAATTTTTGATCAACGTATACGCCTCCTTGCCAAAGAAATGTAGGAAATATGCCGTGAGTTTCTTATCATCCATATCGGATTTGTGAGGCACCATACGAATAGAGTATCAGTCATGTCCATCACAGATTTATTCTTGTAGGTTCACTGCTTCAGATAGTCTCGCGGAAATGGCCTATCGGAATTGAATGTGACCAAGCGAAGAGCGCTCTTATCCTGATTCACCAATTCTTGGAAGTTTTGTCCAGATGCTTGCACATTTAGGTAGTGAGACTATACAGCATTTATTGGACTCATTTCTTCAGCAGGTGCCGGTCTGGTAAGGCCGCCCGAAACAGTAGTTAAACGCTACCAGCATTACCCAAAGTTCCATTTTCCGAGAACGTGCTTCCACAACCTGGGCGTTTTAGTACTCACTAGATCAATCAGCGAAATCTTAGGCCTGGTGCGAGTAGAGGTCTAGTGACAAGGCCTCAATTTAACTGGAAACCGAGTTCCGCAAATCTTGCTTACAAGATGTAGACTAGCCTAGCAGAAACGATGCGTCTACACTATGTAAAAACCACAGCGGTCTGTCGCCTTTCCACAATTATGCGCCGGCAATTTTAGAATTAAGGCAAACCTTCGTGTTGCTGCATGACGGTGAAGCGAATTTTGCTATGGTTTACAGTCGTGGGCAGCTCCCCGTAGTCTTACGGCAGGTTTCTGGTCAATTTTGTGGAGACCTTGCATAAATGAAGGTTATCATTTTCCCTGCCTATATAATGTACATTGGAAGAGAATGATTTAACCTTGTTCAGGCGTATTGATCGATCGTCTAGCTCACTTTTACCGCTGTTCAAACGACCTCATTTTGCAGAAAGATCAGCTAAGGGAGGATAAAGTGTTTGGATTGGTGGAATAATGTATCGGCTCTGTAGTTCGGCTCCACCTATCTCAATTCGATTTTGGTGTTTTCCCGTTCATTTGCTGGCGTGATTTTTCAGACGGAACAGAATCAGGCATGCACGGACAGGTGAACCTCACCGCGCTGCAGTTCCACTGGTTGACGTTGTCCAATCGATCAAATTTACTGGATCGGCCGTGCCTGCTCGATCACATCTTAGGGACAGACATGCATGCCGCAATCTGATTGGTGGATTAATCTATCAGACAACTAAGCGACCGAATACCAGTTGGCTACGCTAAATCCACACAGCACGGATACCATGCGGTCCCGTCCACTTCCAAATTGAGCTCTCGACTTCCTAGAAATTTTGATCTAATTAATCCAATGACCACGGAATTACATAACTCGTTCAACTCATTCTGTAATTTCGTCAAAAAAGGTTCTACTACAGCAACTGACAAAACGTTGAAAAAAATCTGCACAGATTGCCACATCTACGGAAAAGGCTTGGATGCAAATCGTGTGGATATAGAATTCCGCGCCTTCATTGGCAACACGAAACGGTAAGCAATACCCTAACACTGAAGAATTTTTACTCACGAGAACTGATGGAAAATGGAAGAGATGTGGAAATTTGAACACAACGTAATCATGAGGCGGCCTGTGTGCAGCACATTCAGTTGTAGAATATCACAAACGAGAGACTCAGTTGAGTCCCTTGTGAAAAGCGAGTTGATTTGCAAATGAGCGTATTTCTCGAAAACAGTCCAATTTGGGTTCAAGTAGGTCATAAGGTTGACGGAAACTCGAGGACTGCGCCTACCCGATGAGCCCCAAGAAGGGCGAGACCGGTCGTAGGCTGTCGAAGAGTTTTCAGCAACCTTGTGAGTAGTTTCCTTTATGGAAAAAATGTAACCCCCTTTCGTGGAGAACGCCTCACATCCTTTTGTGTTAGGAGGTTGCGGAAAATTTTAAAAGATGGTTCGATAAAATTCTTAGAATGAGTTGATAGGCCTCTTCAAATCAAGCCAACCCGGTCGATGTTCCCTTTTGATGTTTAATCAAGCGCAACTTTTCTTGATATTCTGTCAAATTTAGACTTCTGTTGAGACATTCCAAGATTACTGTATTAGTGGTGGGACGTCTTAACCGACACCGGGTAAGGAACGACCAATAAAGTTAGAATTAATACGGCTACTGCGGTCATTTATAACTGCGTGTGTTGTACACGGCGATCCGTAGCGCATGTCGTTAATCACCGACTCAGGATGTCGATAAACGAATAAAAACTGTGAAGTTGATACCGATTCGGATTAATTGAGCAGTAAATCAGGAGTGGTTTGGGAGTGTAACTTGACAGTAATCCTGACGTTTTTTTGCCAGATATCGATTCTAATGGAATATAATAATTGCAGCGCACACGCAAATATTTGATAAACTTCTTATTTAGTTGAAGTGTGCAATATTTTGTTCTTATTTCAGTTTATCTTATGCAAGCATCATATTATGAGGGAGCAAATAGGAAGACGTTCTACAAAGAAACTGTATTAGCGACTTATTGACCATCATTCGAATATTTGCATTTCACCGTATGCGTGTGTTCACGATGTCTGCAGAGCTATTGTAATGACTTTTACTTACGCAGACCAGTAATTACTTTACAGAATGCGGCAAGCCGTTGGCCAGAATGCTAAAGAAACTGATGGTAGGTAGGATTTTGAGGTCCCCCAACCATCAGGTATTTTTATCCGGCTCTGAAACTACCTGATACGCAGCTGCGCATAGCTAAGGGATCCACTTGGTTCATATCATTCTGAAACACCGCATTTCTTCAGCAGCTCTGCGAAGTCCAAACCACACGTGTGTTTTGTTTTAAAACAGATCGACAACCTGCTTTGTTTCACTAAATATCTATGATTCACAATAAAAAGTAGGTAAGCTAAAAGACTCAGTTGAACACAAATACATTTTCTTCTTGAAGATACAGAAAC